CCTCTGCTCATGAGGCCACTGCAAATATTTTCGTAATAACTAATGCAGTTTAAACTAGCGAATGCTTTGCGCCTTCTGGCCGCCGAATGGCGCTTGGTCCGTTCCAGGTTGGTCCCATGAACTGGTCTCCACTGGGGCGTTCCTTCTTCACGTTTGAGGCGATGGCTGGTGCATTCTAATTGTCTGTCTCGTGGCGATCGGCGGCCCTGCTGGCGCAGCAGTCCGTGGTGCCGGCGGCCTCTTGCACCGACTAGCAGCCGTCAGACGCATCCTGCTGGTCGAATCCAGCCGACGCCTGTCAGGGGTGCAGTCTAATTCTTTTCCCGACCCGAATGGCCGAGCACGGGTATTGGATTCTTGACCTCGAAGGCGATTTCGGGCGGCTACAGATGTAAAGCCCGCTTTCAATTTGAAGCGCAAGACTTTACGACAATGGGAAATTGGAACGCAATTTGACATCGCTTCAGCATTCAAGTGAGCACACCGTCGAGAATACAACGTCGGTTTTTCGTAATGAGTGAAGTGCTGACGGTGAATGCTAAACATCGTAGGACTCAGTTTTTTTAACACGCATCTGAAAATCAGCAGGTACATGTATATGTACACTGAATGTAAAGCGTGCATTCCATTACCAAGCACAGCAGTCAGCAGTATGTGGGAAATAGCATTATTCTTTAATTGTCCGCGACCGAAAACGGTCTGGAAATATCAGCTATCAATTCCCCACTGCTCCCGAACACATCGAGGCAACATCCGTCGGAGACGGTCTGGAAAGGTCAGCTATCGATTCCCCACTGCTCCCGAACACGTCGAGGCAACATCCATCGGACACGGTCTGGAAAGATCAGCTATCGATTCTCCACTGCTCTCGAACACATCGAGGCAACATCCATCGGAAACGGTCTGGAAAGATCAGCTATCAATTCCTCGCTGCACCCAAACATGTCAAGGCAACATGCATCCTTGTGTGCAATGTAAAGCTGATCAGTATTAAGCTATCGAGCTTTTACTGACTGAGCACTGTTGAGCCTATTCAATACTGGAGTTTATACCCATAGCCGTGATGATGGCTCGCCAAATACAGGTGTGTTAAGTTATGGCTTTTGAGTTTGTTTTATCGACAGCAGATCCTTTGGAGACTGTTCATATCTTTTGATAAATACCGTACACTGATCAACACAGTCTTAAACTCATAGAAATGGAAAAAAACTAAGCCGTAAAGCTCACTATATTTGACAGACATAGCCTCTGCAGGTGACTTTAAAGTTTTTTTTTTTGGGGGGGGACCATATTACATAGTCCAAAACCTAATACGATTCCGGAACGTGGAACGTTATGAGAACAAGCATACGCCAACATTGTACCGGCAGTGTCTGAGGGTCCACAGTGAGGATCATGCGCCAATGTCTGGGTCGAAACATGTGGGACGAGTGTTCAGTGTAACTGCACAGTGACTCACGAGATATGTCGATATGCGGACAGGACAGATTGTCCCGTTTTGCCCCCATAGACGTCCCACGGTTTTGATTTTTGTTAAGCTTTGAGTTACACTCTATGTGTCACCATAAACTACCAGTTTTCAAACTGACCTGAAGAGGCCACGTCTGCCGGTAGCAAACTTTGCGGCTTGCTTTTGAATTTATTTTAGTTTGAGACTGCAGCCCACAGCGTACGGTATATTTAATTTGCTTTGACAACCAAGTGCTTCCAAAAATGCATGCAACGAAAGGTATGGTACTTGATACCCCACAAAGGCACAGTGTTCATATCTGGTATTCGAGTAACCGATAATCTGGCAAAAGGCTTATGGGCTTAGACCGATTAAATGCGTCACACGAAGAAATTGTGTTTGAACAAAAGAATACGGGAATGGATCCTGACATCAGATCCTTGAGTCCTGGAGGTAAGATTTTCGAAGTGTCCAACAATCATTTTACAGTGCTAACAGACTATCTGGCATCAGGGATCTCTTTTCATGCTCTGCCCGTGGATATCCTGGATCTTGATCTTGTCTGGAAATGTGTTTGAATATATTTCAGTTCTAGGAAATTAGTGGAAGGAAATTAACATGACCTCCTTACGATAATAAGGTACTTAATATTTGTTACAGGGACAGGGACAGTTACGCTTCACATTTTAAGATATTGAATCAAGCATCAGATATGATGAAATAAGCTCCCTTACAAACACCGGCATACTTTCAAGTGGAAAGGAATGTTTTAGACAGTGCAGTTTCTCTGTTCAGTAGACATGCTCCTCAATACATCATTGTTTGATTACGTCATCGTACTTTGCACAGCGTCGGTTAAGAGCCAATAGACAATGTCTGAAAATCGCGCTCACGAGCGCCAGCTATGAACGACTCTACGGCTATATTTTTATTGGCCTTGATCGTCGCATGGCTAATTGACTGACAGGATTTGAATGACATTAATGTGGCGTTATGGATGCTCGGGTGACCTTAAAATAGTCTCCCCGAAAAAGCCCGCACGTCTTCTCGGGCGTATAGCTCAGAAACTTGAGAGGTTTAGTTCTTTAGAAGGGGAAAGCTGTGAAGTGGACAAATGGATATTCGCGATGGCTAGTTCAGTTCAAAGCTCGATACAAATGTTGAACACCCCCTGTAAGTGAGTTGTATATTCAATAGTGTTTCGGTCACAGACGTTGGTCACAGAATCGAAAAGTTCAAGTATAGAGCGGACATTAAATGCTAGCCAGCGCTGACATCGTTTTTACCCCAGCACACACATGGTCAAATGGCTCACGCTTCCTTTACTTTGACCGAACAGACTACAATAAATCAAGATGTTGACCATGATTTGACTTCTGGATCACGAATCAGGGGTCGGTGTCGTGTGGCTTCTCGAGAAAGCATGCAACATCGACTGGATCAACGACGCCGTGAAAAGCAACAGCAGCGGGATCATCATCATCACCGTAAAAACATTGACCTCAACATCAGCAGGAACACCATGAGCACGACCGAGATCGAGACCTGGTCGGCTTTCTTACGTTACCTCATATGGATGAAACTTTGTGTGTAAAGATAAGATCGGCTGCCACAATCAGTTTTAAATTTTCGTATAGCTTGACAAAACCAGAATGCTTTTAAACGCAATATAGTTTAGTCGGCTTTCTCGCAACCGGTATGCCCATCCGGTAAATATTTGGTAATACATGCATGTCGGGTTTGAAAGATAATTTTTTAACGTCTGGTGCTGTGTATTGGATGACGTGTTTAAGACGAGGGTAGTGGCGAAAGTGTATCGTATATTGGTGAATCAAAAAGACACAGTCGGCTACCGTTTAACGACAATGTCCTAGGCGCAAAAAATCTCCTGAGCCCGTAATTGGTGATGACGTTTTTTTCTGTACACCGATGATGAGATGCGGCACAATAAGTATCCCATGTCTGCTTAAATTATGCAAAAAAAAAAACAAGATCCCCCATCGCCGAATAAGGGAAATTATCAAAATGCTCTACCTGAAACAATCCCCTACTTAACAGAGACATTTCATCGTGTAGAGTTATTTGGTTTTATCTATGCAAGGCTAGTGCAATTTGTTGCGTGTGATTTACAGTGTTTTGTTCGGTTAGTGTGAAAAATGGGCGCCATTTGATCACGTGTATGCTGGGAAAAGCGTTGTCGGAACTGGCTAGCACACGATGTCCGCTCTATATTTTGACTTTTTGATTCCGTGGGCAAAGCTCGTGACCGAAAATTCATTAAGAATACCCTTTTTGTAACGAATATCACTTTTGCAATTATCGCAATGTCATCTAAATCTCCCTTAATAATTAGCATGCGTTACATTGCACGGGAGCTTTACCATCTCAGGGCTATCTTCCAGCACCCTGGATCTTTTGAAACTTTAATTACAGGATTCTTGCAGATTTAAGATGTGTTATCAGGATCCTAGCACATGTCTGTGTCGAAATACCTCGCAGAGCAGCCGGCTTTCCACTTTTCAGTGCGCATACCATTGCAATCGAAACCATGCATGGACAGTATGGCCTAATATGTAATTGACACTCAGAACAGGCGCACGGAGGTTTCTACCCAGGTTTTCCAAATCTTGTTATGCTCCTCCAGATGGTTCGGGATGCACACAAAATACATTAGTTGCATTGGTTGCATTCGCATTCTGGTTGCACCGATCCCCTATCCCGGGAGAGGGCTATTGTGATAAGTCTGCAACTGCAATGCGTGTTGTCTATGGTCACACTGTAGCGTTCAGGGTATATTTGGCTGCGTTAGGCCGAGGTATATGCGTTCTTAAGCTGTGTGGCTGCTGAACTCCAGTTAACGGTAATTGGCAGCTGACGTGATGGTGATGACTCACGGGCGGCAACGCCTTTGCAGGCAGCAAGAAAGCGAGCTCATAGGCAAAGGTTGTTCCAAGTGTGGTATGCTGAATAATTTTCATATTTTGTATATCGTTGTGCCATCTAGCTTTACCAGACCTACAGAGCCATCTTGCCTGAAATTTCACAAGAATATGTTGTCTACCCCGGTACAGATTGGTCGTGCCCGCTCTGCCCTGCAACCGACTACCCGTGTCCGCCTTACCCCTGTGCTGACTGCCCTGGTCCGCCCTGCCGCGGTACAGACTGCCCGTGCCTGATCAACCCGGAACTGACTACCCGTGTCCGCTCTACCCCGACATTGACTACCCGTGTCCGCCCTGCCGCGGTACGGACTGCCCGTGCCCGATCAACCCTGGAACTGACTACTCGTGTCCGCTCTGCCCCGACATTGACTACCGTGTCCGCTCTGCCTCTACATTGACTTCCGTGTCCGCTCCGCCCCTACATTAACTGTCCGCGTCCGCTCTGCCTCTACATTGACTGTCAGTGTCCGCTCTGTCCCTACATAGACTGTCCGCGTCCGCTCTGCCCCTACATTGACTGTCAGTGTCCGCTCTGTCCCTACATTGACTGTCCGTGTCCGCTTTGTCCCGGCACTGACTGCCCTCATGGCCGGCTCGTGCGGCGGCAGGTGGGCTGGATGAAGTCGGACACACGCACCATCCTTACCGTGTACGACCTGGTGGTGACCAACAACCCGCGCATCAGCATCAGCCACGACCTGCAGCACACCTGGAGCATCCACATACGGCAGCTGAAGAAGTCCGACCACGGCTGCTACATGTGCCAGCTCAACACCAAACCGATGCGCAGCCAGATGGGCTGCGTCGACGTGCAAGGTCAGTCAGGTCACCATCCAGCTCCCAGGGTCAGCCAATAAACCAGCCAGCTGCCGGGATCAATCAGTAAACCAGCCAGTAAACCAGTCAGGTCACCATCCAGCTCCCGGGGTCAGTCAGTAAACCAACTAGCTGGCGGAATCACTCAGTAAACCATCCATCTTGTTAGGATCAGTCGTTAACCAGCCAGCTGTTCAGGCCAGTCAACAACTCACCACGGCCTACGCACGGCGTCAGCAGCTCACCATGGCCTACTCCTTACCGTTCAGCTTCCATGGCCAACTAGCTCACATTGTTTTTAGCCATGCGGCCCTCAATTGTCCTCAGCAGATTGATCTCGGTTCAAGTTGACGGACACAGAATCGCTCGGTGGTGGTACTAAATGCGTTACTATCACCGATTTTTCGGGAAAACGTATGGCTTAAGGGTCATGCACAAGCTGTCTTCACTAATTCATGTCATTGTTTTTATTGTTGTTTGTTCGGGTTTTATCCCGCGCTGACTACAAGGGTCATTCCTATCACATCCCATCGCGTGTAAGACAATCGCGAATCAGACGTTAGCAAACCAGATTATATGGTTGGAATATGTTGTTGCGGTGCAGTACAAAGATGCGTTTATGCACAACCAGCTTATTTAATTTCAATGGTATCTTTGGGAACTATCACATTTTCGTCTTGTACATTGGTTGGACAACACTGGACAACACATTGGTCATGTGCTGTCCAGTATTGTTCAACACTTCATGGTCAACGCCTTGGTCATGTTTCAGTTGATCAACGTAAACAGCTATGACCAATTTCTGAGCACTGATCACGAACATAGCGCTTAAAATTGCTGAATGACTCTAACGTTCAAGATAAGTGGATGGAGGAGGAGCGGCAACATGGGCTTGACGCTGAACATTATGGAAAGGAACATGTCACATGCCTCGCGGCTCGGGCTAAATGGATCAACCATTTGGTACAGCAAATCTTCCGGCATGCTCCAAATATTCTTCCAAACTTTCTGGTACCAGGACGTCCACATTAAAACCGTGATTTTCAAGTCCCTCTTCGAAAGGGGGAGGGTCACTGGCCACATGGTCGCCCCGGTTAGGGAATGTGTCTCGTACTGGCCACATGGTCGCCCCGGTTAGGGGATGTGTCTCGTACTGGCCACATGGTCGCCCCGGTTAGGGAATGTGTCTCGTACTGGCCACATGGTCGCCCCGGTTAGGGGATGTGTCTCGTACTGGCCACATGGTCGCCCCGGTTAGGGGATATGTCTCGTACTGGCCACATGGTCACCCCGGTTAGGGAATGTGTCTCGTACTGGCCACATGGTCGCCCCGGTTAGGGAATGTGTCTCGTACTGGCCACATGGTCACCCCGGTTAGGGAATGTGTCTCGTACTGGCCACATGGTCGCCCCGGTTAGGGAATGTGTCTCGTACTGGCCACATGGTCACCCCGGTTAGGGGATGTGTCTCGTACTGGCCACATGGTCGCCCCGGTTAGGGGATATGTCTCGTACTGGCCACATGGTCGCCCCGATTAGGGAATGTGTCTCGTACTGGCCACATGGTCGCCCCGGTTAGGGAATATGTCTCGTACTGGCCACATGGTCGCCCCGGTTAGGGGATATGTCTCGTACTGGCCACATGGTCGCCCCGGTTAGGGAATGTGTCTCGTACTGGCCACATGGTCACCCCGGTTAGGGAATGTGTCTCGTACTGGCCACATGGTCGCCCCGGTTAGGTGATGTGTCTCGTACTGGCCACATGGTCGCCCCGGTTAGGGGATATGTCTCGTGTGTACTCCCATAATTAACGGCGTGTGGGAGGGATGTGTCACGTGGTTCGGTGCTGGGCGCGCGTGAAGCGACGAACTGGTGTGTCAAGATATGAGAGGGAGTTTTGTAAACATAGGTGACGGTCAGTGTTTTAATAGTTTAGCATAGAAGTGAGGCTGGAATTGATCTGCCCAGACCGTGGGGGGCACTCGCGCCCGACGTGGGTGGGCATGGTGTTACAGACCGGTGACGCGCGCTTCAGCGCGGCGGCACGCTCGTTAGCCGGCGCCGAGTATATTTTGATTTTGTCGTTGAAGGTGGCCATGTGGAGACGCAGCGGCTCGTCATGCGGCCCTCGCCGGTCCCGTGTCGCGGCCTGGCGCGATTTACGGGCCACACCTGCATATTCCCGAAGGTCTCCTTTGGCTATGGCGCTAGGCTGTGGGCTAGCTGGACGTTCGTTTTGTTCCCTTGGTTCTTTTTAATTGCTCGGGGCGGCCGGACCCTTGCCGCACTCCATTCAACGCGCCCGCGCCCACGCGTGCGCGTGCATTTTGGTTTTCTGTTTGTTTTGTTTTTTAGTTTTGATTGTCTTGTTCAAGCGGAGCACTTGCTTTGGAATCGACGGGGCCAGCTCCCGCCGAACAGTCAGGCTTTCGTCCGATGCGCAATATGCCGTCCTTTCTCGAAGATCGAATCATGTATGAACCATAACCGAAGGATGATAGACATGGAACGCGCTCGAGCGGCACGAGCTGACTACGGCGGGGTTGAGGAGCCAGACGACCACGGTCCTGATTTTACACAGATGTATGTTTTTGGGTAGCACGACCCGAACACGCAGTCTTGCTCTCTCTTTTCAGCTAAAAGACTGTCAGCTCGTTTCGCTGTCTCTCACTCGACTTCAGGCGCGACGGCATAAAGAGGCAAAAGTCATTCGTGGCCAAGGACCAATTGGGACTGTCCGGGGTGCAGGATTACGCACGGCTGTTACTGGGCCTATCCGTTGTTTAGAATACCTTGGTAGAGAACAGAACACAGCCTATTCTCTCCCGACGTGGTGTACGCCAGGCCTTATGGGCTCTTGATGGCGGGATGTTCGGGAGAGATAAAGGTCCCACTGCCGACGCTGACGGTCATGAGCGACAAGGAACCGAGAGGACGGACAGGATCGTCAGGCCGAGTCTCCGGAGCGCGCCAGCGCGGACACCGAAGCACGCGAACGCAGGTCACGCCGGGCGCTCGCTGTCTGCAGAGGGGCTGCACCATCCCAGCGGAGCGCTGTCTACCCCGAGACCTCTAAGTGACGCGCCGTAGAGCAGCGCCTTGCAAATCTCACTCCGGCAGGCGGGAGGCAATGGCGCAGAAGCGCCGGAGGCGGCTTCTCCGTGCTGGACGAAGCGCTGCTCAAGGCGCGTACGAGGCAGCGGAAAGCTGCGAACAGTGGACGTGGCCAAAGGAATGGTGGGCCGCCCAAGCGTGGACGAGACGTGGGGAGCGTCGTCCGAATAGGGAGCCTGGAGGGCAGCCGAGGGGGCCAGTCGTCGTCCAGCTTCTGATAGCCGAGGGGGCCAGTCGTCGTCCAGCTTCTGACAGCCGAGGGGGCCAGTCGTCGTCCAGCTTCTGACAGCCGAGGGGGCCAGTCGTCGTCCAGCTTCGGACAGCTGATGCCGGCCCGTATCTGCATCAGTGCCAGGCTTCGGACAGCTGATGCCGGCCCGTATCTGCATCAGTGCCAGGCTGATAAAGTAACTTGATGTGTTTTAAATAGCGCATGCACGTGGTTTCACTGGGTGTTTGAAACCCGTCAATAAAAGTTTACTTAGGTCAACAAGGATTCGCACAGACGGGCCAATTATAATGCTAAGACTCTGTATAAAACGGGGGGGGGGGGGGGGCGCTGTCAGCTGTGTGCGAGCCAAGAATGGGTGGGGTGAGTGGTACCAGCGGATGTCTATGCTTTGGATAGTGTGGTGGGGTGCCGAATACATGAAGTGTGTGAATTGGCTCAGGCCGAGGGGCTCCCAACGTTGTTATTCAGCGGGCCCTTGCCAATACAATTCGTCGATTGCGTGGAATCCCTGCCAAATTGGGTATACTGTCAGAGCATCTGGCTTCTCTTTTGCCCCGTTTAAATACTACGGTCAGCTGAAAAGTGGAGGTGGGGCACTATGGTTAAGGGCGCACAGCCATGCACGGTGAGACAGCCGTTCATGGTGCCTGACCATCCCGCCAATGCCCCGGTCATCCGCTTCATCCTAGCTCTGTGGTTCACATGGGTGTGTGTTGGCTTTGGACGAACTGGAGTCACAATGTGCCAGGTCGTGCGCTAACATCATCTGGCTCGTATGCTGACCATTGGGCCCGTCAGTGTAAATTCGTTCTTATGGGGAGGCGCGACAGCAGCAGCCGGCGGCGCACAAACATCCACCGGCGGCCCGGCAGCGGAGCAGCGCACGCACACCCCACCCCAGGAATCCATCCCCCCCCCTCCACACCAATTCATTGGTGTTTTTCGCTAAGCCGTATTTTACTTAGTTTGGAAACGGCAAGGAGGGCTGCATCATCCCCCCCCCCCATTAATTTGCGTTGACAAACGGCGAATCAGCGCGAGGATCAACTTTCAATATATGACACTATCCCAAAACATTAAACAAACATTTGTGTGGGCATATGGCAGCCCGTGGCGCTGGGTCTTGGTAACAGGCCCTTTGCCGCACTAGTTGTACAACATAATGCGTCTTCAGAACGTAAGCGCCACATGCTAACAGATAAATAGTGTTTTTTAGGGAGCAGGCCAACTTATTGGACGAGTCCAACCTAGTCAGTTTAGTCCAATGTAGTCTATCATTAAGAGCAGCTCTCCCGAAATCCGTGTCAATAGGCTCGAGTATTCATTTTGGGTATCCGCTACTTCGTTAGAAATGTAAGCGGGCCGCGTATTTATCACTGACATTTTTCTCCATTTGCTTTGGCTTTCTCCAGACGTTGACCGTGTGTCTTGCAATGCAATATTTGACCGAAATGCCTGTATTACAAACATCGTGTCAGGGCTTGACCACGCAGTTCGGTCGCTATATATATATATATATATATATATATATATATATATATATATACATATATATATAGATATATATAGATATAGATATAGATATAGATATAGATATAGATATAGATATATATATATAAAGGCATATATATATATATATATACATACATAAATAA